ATATGAAAGCAAAGGTGAACAGGAAAAAGGTGCAGAAGAAAAAACATATTAATGCATTTTATGCTAATAGTCGAAGTGCCAGAAATAAAATTAATGAATTACGTTTGGTAGCATGTGTTGGGAACTTTGCTGTCATTGCAGTAACTGAAACATGGTATAATTTACCGAGTCGATATATGGTTGCCAAGTGCCATATTCAAGGGTTTAAGTTGTTCTATGTAGATAGATATAACAGGAAAAGGAGTGGCGTTGTATTGCATGTACGAGAAAATATAAATTGTTGCATAAAAACAGGTATAAAAATGGATGGATTAGCAACAGAATCTGCTTGGGTAGAATTTCTAGGTCAAGAAAAACTAATTCTAGGCGTAATATACCGACCTCCAGGCTTGGATAACGAAAGAGGGAAACTTCTTTGGGACGAAATTGTTAGGGCTTCTAGACACAATAACGTAGTGATAGTAAGGGATTTTAACTTTAGTCAAATTGCATAGACTTCTTTGGTCGGTAATCTGGAGTCCAATGACTTTATGGAAGTAGTTCAGGACTGTTTCCTGAAACAGTGTGTAACAGAGCCTACCAGAGGTAACAATTTACTCGACCTAGTCTTGTTAAATAAAAAAAAAAACTCGCAAATAATCTGAAGTTCACCGAAGAACTTGGCACAAGTGATCACAAATATGTACATGGGAGTACGAGAATAAGGAAAATGCGGTAAAAGTCCCCGATAGGGACTTTTACCGTGATGGACTGAACACATCGACTCCAGGCTGAGGGACTGATTACCTCAAACTCCTCCTCTCCTTGCCCATTTCTACTTTGTATTGGACTTCTGTAGTGTTCCTCCATTCTTATTTTCTTATGTACTGTCAGATAGTGGTTCACTAATCTTGCGTGTATTGTCTGGGGTTGTGCAGTCTAGAACACCTTTTTACTGTGCCTTGGGAAGAGAGCTTTTCATTGTGCCTTGGGAAGAGAGCTTTTCATTGTGCCTTGGGAAGAGAGCTTTTCATTGTGCCTTGGGAAGAGAGCTTTTCATTGTGCCTTGGGAAAAAGAGCTTTTCACTGTGCCTTGGGAAGAGAGCTTTTCATTGTGCCTTGGGAAAGAGAGCTTTTCATTGTGCCTTGGGAAAGAGAGTTTTTCACTGTGCCTTGGGAAAGAGAGCTTTTCACTGTGCCTTGGGAAAGAGAGCTTTTCACTGTGCCTTGGGAAAGAGAGCTTTTCACTATGTCTTGGGAAAAGTTTTTCATTGTGCCTTGAGAAGAGAGCTTTTCACTATGCCTTATGAAAGAGAGCTTTTCACTGTACCTTGGGAAAGAGAGCTTTTCATTGTGCCTTGGGAAAGAGAGCTTTTCACTGTGCCTTATAAAAGAGAGCTTTTCACTGTGTCTTGGGAAAAGAATTTTTCATTGTGCCTTGAGAAGAGAGCTTTTCACTATGCCTTGGAGAAGAGAGCTTTTCACTGTACCTTGGGAAAGAGAGATTTTCACTGTGCCTTGGGAAAGAGAGCTTTTCATTGTGCCTTGGGGAAGAAAGCTTTTCACTGTACCTTGGGAAAGAGAGCTTTTCACTGTACCTTGGGAAAGAGAGCTTTTCACTGTACCTTGGGAAAGAGAGCTTTTCACTGTGCCTTGGGAAAGAGAGCTTTTCATTGTGCCTTGGGAAAGAGAGCTTTTCACTGTGCCTTGGGAAAGAGAACTTTTCACTGTGCCTTGGGAAAGAGAACTTTTCACTGTGCCTTGGGAAAGAGAACTTTTCACTGTGCCTTGGGAAAGAGAACTTTTCACTGTGCCTTGGAAAGAGAACTTTTCACTGTGCCTTGGGAAAGAGAACTTTTCACTGTGCCTTGGGGAAGAGAACTTTTCACTGTGCCTTGGAAAGAGAACTTTTCACTGTGCCTTGGGAAAGAGAACTTTTCACTGTGCCTTGGGAAAGAGAACTTTTCACTGTGCCTTGGGAAAGAGAACTTTTCACTGTGCCTTGGGAAAGAGAACTTTTCACTGTGCCTTGGGAAAGAGAGCTTTTCACTGTGCCTTGGGAAAGAGAGCTTTTCACTGTTTACTATGACTCCTTGCATTTTGTAAGAAAGTTAAATTCCATCTGCCCACTTATCTATTTATTTCTTTATCACACATTTTGTGCGCTATTACACCATGTTCGCACTTGCCGAATGGCTTTGCAAAGTCTGTGTATGCTACTTCATCTTCTTCGTCTTCCAGTGCATCCTAACCATGTTATAGTGGTCCAGTAGTTAAGAGAGGCGGGAGCAACTTGCTCTAAACCCATGTTGCCCTGAGTTGTGCAGTTGTTGTGAATCCATGTAGTTAGTGATCTTTCTTCTTGAATTTTTTTCAAATATTTTAGTAATGTAGGACGTCGGTACTATCGGTCCATAGGTCTTCGCTATTTATTTGCTGGAATCCTTGTGGAGTTGGGGCCATATCCGTTGTTTTTAATGATTATGGGATGACCCCCGTGTCTAGGTTCCCTCTAAGAATATTTAAGGCACGTGATAGGGGTTTCTTGTAGTTACTTACTGTAACACTATGGTTATAAATATAACCTTAATTTTTAAACGGGGTGGACCGGTAAACCAGTGGAAGGCCTCAGTCGGATGGCCAAAAGCTCCAGTGGCCAGTCATCATATGACTAAGATCTGTGTCAGGAAACACTTGTCTTGTTTCCTGACAAATCTTACCTAACCTGGGAGTGGTTTCCAGGTCAATGGGGGTTGACCGTTGACCTCTCTCTATTATTTCACAGAAACCAGTTCATTGATTTTAATGAAAGTTTAAAGGCGATCAGAAAAAAACTTTCCCAATACATAAATAACCCGAGTGATAGACAACAACTCTGGAGGAACGCAAGAAAAATAGAGAAGGCGACAACTATTACCAATGTCGAACATATCAACATGAGGCCAGTGAGAACCCGCAATGTGACTGAGATGCAGTTGTCAACCCGACAACGCTGGCTGAGGTGAACCTGTCAGCTTGACAACGCTGGCCCGGATGCAGCTGTCAAATTGACAACGCTAGCTGTGGTGCAGTTGTTAGTAAGACAACGTTCTCTCTCTCTCTCTCTCTCTCTCTCTCTCTCTCTCTCTCTCTCTCTCTCTCTCTCTCTCCTCTCTCTCTTCTCTCTCTCTCTCTCTCTCTCTCTCTCTCTCTCAACGCTGACTGGAATGCAGTTGTTAACCTGACGACGCTGGCTGGGGTGCAGTTATCAACTTGACAACGGTGACCGGGATGCAGCTCTCAACTTGACAGTGTTGACTGGGGTACAACTCTGTCAACTTGACAATGTTGACCGGAGTGCAGGTGTCAATTTGGCAGTGCTTACGAGGATGAAGTTGTCAACTTGACAGTGTTTGCTGGGATGAGATTGTCAACTTGACAGTGTTTGCAGGGGTGAAGCTGTGCTTGCTGGGGTGAGGTTGTCAACTAGACAGTGCTTGTTGGGATGAGGTTGTCAACTAGACAGTGCTTGTTGGGATGAGATTGTCAACTTGACAATGTTTGCAGGGGTGAAGTTGTGCTTGCTGGGGTGAGGTTGTCAACTAGACAGTGCTTGTTGGGATGAGGTTATTAACTTGGCAGTGTGTGCTCTGGTGCGGTTGTCAAGTTGACAGTGTTTGCTGGGGTGTGGTTGTCAACTTGGCAGTGCTTCCTGGGGTGAGGTTGTCAACTTGACAGTGTTTTTTGGGGTGAGCTTGTCAATTTAACAGTGCTTGCTTGGGTTAGTTGTAAATTTGGCAGTGCTTGCTGGGGTGCTGTTGTCAACTTGACAGTGCTTACTGGAGTGTGGTTGTCAACTTGACAGTGCTTGCTGGGATGAGCTTGTCAATTTGTCTGCTTGCTGGGGTGATGTCAACTTGGGAGTGATTGCTGGGGTGAGGTTGTCAACTTGACAGTGCTTGCTCTGGTGCGGTTGTCAACCTGGCAGTGCTTGCTCTGGTGCGGTTGTCAACTTGGCAATGCTTGCTCTGGTGCGGTTGTCAACTTGGCAGTGCTTACTCTGGTGCGGTTGTCAACTTGACAGTGCTTGCTCTAGTGCGGTTGTCAACTTGGCAGTGCTTGCTCTGGTGCGGTTGTCAACTTGGCAGTGCTTACTCTGGTGCGGTTGTCAACTTGGCAGTGCTTACTTTGGTGCGGTTGTCAACTTGGCAGTGCTTACTTTGGTGCGGTTGTCAACTTGGCAGTGCTTACTTTGGTGCGGTTGTCAGCTTAGTAGTGCTTACTGGGGTGAGGTTGTCAACTTGACATTGTTTACTGGGGTGAGACTGTCAACTTGTCAGTGCTTGCTGGGGTGAGGATGTCAACTTGACAAATGTTTACTGGGATGGGTTGTCAACATGTTAGTGTTTGCTGGAGTGAGGTTTTCAACTTGACAGTATTTACTGGGATGAGGTTGTTAACTTGACAGTGCTTGCTCTGTTGAGGCTGTAAACTTGACAGTGCTTTCTTGGGAGAGGTTGTCTACTTGACAGTGCTTGCCCTGGTGAGTTTGTCAACTTGGCTGTACTTGTTGGGGTGTGGCTGTTAATTTAACGTATCCGGCTTGGATACGGTTCTTAAAGGACTCCAATGGAAATAAGTCACTGTGTCTGACTTTTTTGGTTCATCCCAGGTTCTCTACACATATGCTGCTATGTATGATAATTCTATGTAACTGTCATTGTGTATACCTGAATAAACTTACTTAACACGACTGGTTTGGATGCGGAGTCGGGAGGTGTTACTCGACCCCTGCAACTGCATATAGGTGAGTAATCAACTTGACAGCGCATGCGGGGGGGGCTGCAGTGTGTTAACTTGGCAACACTGGCTTGGGTACGGAGGTCAACGTGGCAACACTGGCAAGGGTGCGAGGGGTCAACGTGGCACCATTAGCTAGGGTGCAGGGGTAAACGTGGCAACACCGCCCTTCGCCGAGCTGAGCTCACTGATTGGTGGCCTCCAGCGTGACGTCACGAGCCAAAACAAAGCCAGCCCCAGTGCTCCCTGACGCTCAGAAAGCTTGTGAACTTCGTTGAATGTGCAGGGCAGGTTTTAACACCCGCAATTAACAATAACAACATTGGTTATCCCAAGTAACATCTTAAAACCAATCCTCTTACATCCGCGGTCTCTCTCGCGTCATCATTCCGACGTTTACTTGTGAGAAGCATTAATTACGAGGCGAGATGGGCGAGGTGGCTGTCAACGGTGTAGAGCCGATCATGGCCGCCGACCCAAGGGAGGAGTTGTTAAACGGATCACCTCAGGAAACCAAGGAAAATGTCGAAGGACTTGTGAATGGTGTGGTTGAACTAACTGAGCGCATCAAGCGCAGGGCTAAGCGCCCTTCTAAGTTTTTGAATAAAGAGTTAAACCGAGCGAACTCTGATACGCAGGTGATAGCCCCACTGCGTGCTCTCAAGAACTCTCGTAAGTCCCGTAATGGTTTTGGTCGTGGACTTCCAAAGAAAGGTGAGTGTTATACCACTTACAGTTTTTATGTGACGTCTTAACAGTAAAAGTGTTGTATGATATAGTGTGGGTGTTGTCACTTGTTCATATCGCTGCTACTTCAGAATATATCCACCAGCGGAAATAAGTCAAGAATCCCAAAGGAAATAAGTAACTTTGACTTTTTAGTGGGTTATTTACACTATGATAATTGTATTTACGTGTACCTGCGCCTAATAACACTTGGCTAACTTCTGCCCCTTTATAGAGCTCTCAGAGGCGGGGTTCTTACTTGATCACTAATCTCTTACGATCGAGATCAAGCATTAAGTGTATTGTTTGTCTTGATTTAAAAGTTCAAAGGCAATTCAAATATGACATTTCTATGTACAAGGACCCCGGTGGACATAAGTAACTTTGTCATAGGTAATTATTTACACCGTGTATGATTATTGTACATAATTATGTGTACTGCTTAAATAACTTATCCTTGGATAAATCATTTGTCACTTGTATGCCATAGCGTTTGAGTGTAAGATACAGTAACGTACATTCGTTACCATTCATGTATATATAGCAGGTAACGATTCAGAGCAAAATCGATATTAATTAAAAGGAGTATTAATAGTAGTATAGCAAGGAGGCGTGGCAGGAGGTGGCCTTGAGACCTTTCTCGTTAGTTACCACAAAGAACTACATGTTTTTATAATCATGGGGGAGCGCTAAACCCGTAGGGATTATACAGCGCCTGGGGGGAATGGAATGTATTCAGGCTCAAATTTCCCCAGATCAAGAGCCTCTCACCATACTACATGTACAAAGAACTTCAAGGAGGAATACCTTAACCAAGAAATGTGTACTATTAAGATATAGAACATACTATTATTAAACAAATATCGTGCAGTTAAGGACGATTTTTAACGCTTAATTTTAATAATATAATCACCACCAGTCCACCATCATCAAAATCAAGTTATCGCGAAATCTTCTAACACGATTGTCAACAGCTTGCGGAACAAGCAGGATTCGGATCTGGTAAGCCAGTCTCAATGTTATGATTTCGCGTCATTTATAACTGCTTTGAAGACATTTGAGCTAGATTTTTTGTCGCAGGTATGTTAGTATGAGAGTCATCTATAAAAGGAAAACACGCATTGTTGCCACTACTCATGCCAACCTTCCTAGTGTATAGTATTGGTATCTGCAGAAATTTTGGTATCGTTCCATCACAGATAGAAATATAGCTAGTTGAAAGAGTCTTTGGACAAGCATGATATAATAATTTAGAGCACTGGCCTGCCAGTATTAGGTCTGGTTTGCCACGGGTTCAAATACTGTCCGTTCCGTGAGAATAATCACCTGAACCTCACAAGTGGCTAACACGTTTGGCAGTGACGTGAGGCATAAAGCCTCCGTCTTGCGCTAAATGACCCCACAAGGGTTTAGCGCCAGGTTGAGGATGTCGAGCTGTAGTTCCTGAAGCAAACCCATGAGAAGGCAGGGCCAAGTATTTGGCAAACCAAGATGGAGACGTGATGGTTGTGAGACTGACAGTAGACCAGCGATAGAGGGGCGCTAGATTATGCAGAAAAGTGAGATACTGCAGATAGTCTACAGCGAAGTGTCTTATCAGTGATAGCCAGTGTATAGTGGAATAATGTATGGTGTATAGCTAAGAACCAGTGCGATAACTGGTTAAGCTTAGTATGATAAAGAAATAGCGTTGTGTAATAGCACTTAGCACGGTGCCTAGTGAATTAAAGGGTGTAAATGTGTTGTTAGTGGTCATACCGGCTAAGGTAGTAGAAGAAACTCTTATGCAAAGACGAGAATAGTTGATCCGTTATGAAAAAAAATGAGGAAATGAAAACTTGAACCGAGTATACAATTAACTCATACCACGCATTAAAAAAAAAAAATAACCAGGTCTTACGAGTGCTAATGTCAGTGGATCACAAGACGTCACGTCACTATCACAACCGCGAGGAAAATGATAAGATGCCACCACAAGTATAACCACCACCTAGCAAACCTACTGCCATCACCATTAGCCATAGCACCACTGTTGACATCACCACTATCCCTAGCACCACTGTTGATATCACCACTATCCCTAGCACCACTGTTGACATCACCACTATCCCTAGCACCACTGTTGACATCACCACTATTCCTAGCACCACTGTTGACACCACTATTCCTAGCACCACTGTTGACACCACTATCCCTAGCACCACTGCTGACATCACTATCCCTAGCACCACTGTTGACATCACTATCCCTAGCACCACTGTTGACATTATCACTATCCCTAGCACCACTGTTGACATTATCACTATCCCTAGCACCACTGTTGACATTATCACTATCCCTAGCACCACTGTTGACATTATCACTATCCCTAGCACCACCCCTGCCATTACCACTATCCCTAGCATCACTGTTGACATCACTATCCATAGCACTACTACTGCCTTCACCACTATTTCTAGCACTACTGCAATTGCCACTATCCCTAGCACCACTAGTGTTATCACTATCCCTAGCACCACTGCTGCTATCACCACTATCCCTAGCACCACTACTATCACCATTCTCCCTAGCACCGCTGTTTGACATCACCATCCCTAGCGCCAATACTGCCATCACCACTATCCCTAGCACCACTACTGCCATCACCACTATCCCCAGCACCACTGTTGCCATCACTATCCCTAGCATCATACTGCCATCACTATCCCTAGCACCAATGCTGACATCACCATTATCCCTAGCACCACTGTTGACATCACCATTATCCCTAGCACCTCTGTTGACATCATTATCCCTAGTACCACTGTTGACATTACTGTCCCTAGCACCACTGTTGACATTACTGTCCCTAGCACCACTGTTGACATTACTGTCCCTAGCACCACTGTTGACATTACTGTCCCTAGCACCACTGTTGACATTACTGTCCCTAGCACCACTGTTGACATTACTGTCCCTAGCACCACTGTTGACATTACTGTCCCTAGCACCACTGTTGACATTACTGTCCCTAGCACCACTGTTGACATTACTGTCCCTAGCACCACTGTTGACATTACTGTCCCTAGCACCACTGTTGACATTACTGTCCCTAGCACCACTGTTGACATTACTGTCCCTAGCACCACTGTTGACGTTACTGTCCCTAGCACCACTGTTGACGTTACTGTCCCTAGCACCACTGTTGACATTACTGTCCCTAGCACCACTGTTGACGTTACTGTCCCTAGCACCACTGTTGACATTACTGTCCCTAGCACCACTGTTGACATTACTGTCCCTAGCACCACTGTTGACATTACTGTCCCTAGCACCACTGTTGACATTACTGTCCCTAGCACCACTGTTGACGTTACTGGCACTAGCACCACTGTTGACGTTACTGTCCCTAGCACCACTGTTGACGTTACTGTCCCTAGCACCACTGTTGACGTTACTGTCCCTAGCACCACTGTTGACATTACTGTCCCTAGCACCACTGTTGACGTTACTGTCCCTAGCACCACTGTTGACATTACTGTCCCTAGCACCACTGTTGACATTACTGTCCCTAGCACCACTGTTGACATTACTGTCCCTAGCACCACTGTTGACATTACTGTCCCTAGCACCACTTGACATTACTGTCCCTAGCACCACTGTTGACATTACTGTCCCTAGCACCACTGTTGACATTACTGTCCCTAGCACCACTGTTGACGTTACTGTCCCTAGCACCACTGTTGACGTTACTGTCCCTAGCACCACTGTTGACGTTACTGTCCCTAGCACCACTGTTGACATTACTGTCCCTAGCACCACTGTTGACATTACTGTCCCTAGCACCACTGTTGACATTACTGTCCCTAGCACCACTGTTGACATTACTGTCCCTAGCACCACTGTTGACATTACTGTCCCTAGCACCACTGTTGACATTACTGTCCCTAGCACCACTGTTGACATTACTATCCCTAGCACCACTGTTGACATTACTGTCCCTAGCACCACTGTTGACATTACTGTCCCTAGCACCACTACTATTATAATAGTTTTGAACGTGGACGTCTAGGTAGCGGTGAATGATAGGGCTCGGATGTTATGGTACACAGGCAGTGTGTTAAGGCGACCCTGACGGGCCCATGCCCAATACTACTACTTGCGTCTAGGATAAGGTGGCGCCAAGTGAGAGAGAGCCAACCTCTCGCAGCCTGAGGCCAGGCCTAAGGCACGCGAGATGGCAGCACTGGTGACGCGAAATATAAAAGCGGCCCGACGCGAATTATAAACCCCTAGCAGGGTATACACTATCCATAGCACCATTGTTGCCATCAATACTCTCCCTAGCACCATTGTTGCCATCGCTCTCCCTTGCACCATTGTTGCCATCACAACTATCTTTAGCACCACTGTTGCCGTCACTATGCATAGCACCACTGTTGACGTTACTGTCCCTAGCACCACTGTTGACATTACTGTCCCTAGCACCACTGTTGACATTACTGTCCCTAGCACCACTGTTGACATTACTGTCCCTAGCACCACTGTTGACATTACTGTCCCTAGCACCACTTGACATTACTGTCCCTAGCACCACTGTTGACATTACTGTCCCTAGCACCACTGTTGACATTACTGTCCCTAGCACCACTGTTGACGTTACTGTCCCTAGCACCACTGTTGACGTTACTGTCCCTAGCACCACTGTTGACATTACTGTCCCTAGCACCACTGTTGACGTTACTGTCCCTAGCACCACTGTTGACATTACTGTCCCTAGCACCACTGTTGACATTACTGTCCCTAGCACCACTGTTGACATTACTGTCCCTAGCACCACTGTTGACATTACTGTCCCTAGCACCACTGTTGACGTTACTGGCACTAGCACCACTGTTGACGTTACTGTCCCTAGCACCACTGTTGACGTTACTGTCCCTAGCACCACTGTTGACGTTACTGTCCCTAGCACCACTGTTGACATTACTGTCCCTAGCACCACTGTTGAC